ACGGCCCAGCGAACAAAAGATTTCTAACCTTTCTTTTTTCAAAATAGGGCCCCCCCCCCCCCCAGTGGCACAGCGGGATGTCTGCAAATTTACAACGCTAGAATCTGGGTTTCGATACCCGTGGTGGGCAGAACACAGATAGCCCATTGTGTAGCTTTGTGCTTAATTACAAACAAAACAATTGTAAAGTAGTGTTTCGTTTACGTGGAAAATGTTACACAGCGCACGTGTCCAGTAACAAAAGTATTATTAATTTAAAAAACAAATTTCTATATAACTCCGTATTCTAAATGATTAGACAACAAAAGGAAATCGTCCTAAGTGATGGAATTGAGATGAATGTAATTTCCTAAAGAATTCGCAAACAATGCTTACACGTGTAAGTCGTGTTATTAATATTAAAGGTTTGGATTTGTTTCTTAATATATATTTCGTGTATCAAGATAGTGTTTCATTCAGCGACCATTGTCCACTGACGTTTGACATGATTGAGATTTTGAACAGAAGACTTCTACAATCATGTTTATTGTTCAGCATCTAGGTTTGTGTATGTGTTTCTCTAACTTTTGTCATCTGTCCAATTGTAAAACTTGCCAAACGGGCCAACGATGTGTACGTACCGTGTATATATATATGGAATCACATTAGGTAGCCGTCGTTTCTATATGTAGGTATTTTAAAAGCCAAAGTTATAAAAAACTAAAATGTTAATAAACCATTTATTCCCATGTGAAAATAGAAATAGATAATAATAACAACAAGAAAAATTTCTTAATTTTCTTGTTAATCTAACGAAATTAAAATTCAGATTTGGCTAAACACGAAATTTTAAACATTTTCTTCGCTAGATAAGTTATTCTTTTCAACTTTACTTGTTTGAAAGTTTGGATACAGGTTCATAAGGGTCAAATACATTTGCATACAAAAATTTCAGCTTTCAATTACCCTCTACTGCAAACAACAAAAATAAATGTGTCAATAAATTATGGAAGTATTAAACTGAAATAAAAAGAAGTGGCCAAAATTTTAATTTAAATACTATGTATTTTTGAATGGTGATTCTTACATCATACAAATCTCTGTTGGTTTGTTGAATATCGCGCAAACTATTCAAGGGCTAGTATTGAAGATGAAGACGGTTGACAAAATACAAAACGTTTTATTTACAATGTTCGAACGTTTCGGAATACACTTGTTCCATCTTCGGCGAAATGTAAAAATATTGTTAACGATTTCATTATCTTTACTACAGGATCTTCAGACCTTGAACTCTATATTAAGGAAAGTTTACTCATAGCTAAAGACCACCTTACTCTTAACGATTTACAAGGCTCTTTAGATCTAAAATTATTATAGTTTACACACCTAAAACTCAACTGTTCCGCAATATATCTATCATCTTTTTTTGTTTTATCTTTCCGTTTACCATTTAACTTAATAACTAAGTTAATTAGTAATTAATGATACTATAGTTTAGCTAATACATATCTTTGTAACACTATTTTCAGATTTCGCTGAAGATGGAATAAGTGTATCCAGAAACGCTTGAACATTGTAAATAAAATGTTTTGTGCTTTTTAAACCGTCTTCATCTTCATTATTAGACTTCGTTTTCCCCATCATGAACCCACTGCCAGTATTGAAGGCCTATCTACACTAGCTGTCCCTAATTTAGAAGTGATAGACTAGAGGAAAGGCAGCTTATCAACATTACCTACCGCCATTTCTTGGGCTACTTTTTTATCAATGAAAAATAGAATTGACCGTCACATTATAACACCCCCTATAGCTGAACGGTGATGAAATTCGAACCCGCGACCCTAAGGTTGTGAGTCGAGTACCCTAACCACTAGGCTCCACGAAGCTCTGTAAATGCTGATATACGTTCAAACAAAAGTAGAGACAAGTACCTTTTATAAACATGTTCTAAATCTTGGTACCATTACTGCAAGCAAAACTTAGTATCATCTTTGATGATATATTTTGAATTTAGATAACATATCTTTAGACGTTGTGTCTCGAATAAAATTTCTTCATGCTGTTGAATGTCATATTTTTACTTCTGTGTTCGATGTAGCAGCAAGTCCGTAAACGTGGTGTGAGGTCTAGCACCAGCTTCATAGACGTGGTGTTCGATCTAACAGCAACTCCATAGACATATTGTAAGATATAGCACCATCTCCGTAGACATGGTGTGAGATGTAACACAAACTTCGTAGACGTAGCAGCAATTCCGTAAATGTGTCATATGTTGGGTGCTTTTATGTGTGTAGTAAGATCTAGTACCAACTCCGTAGACTTGGTGTATGTTGAGTGCTCTTATGTAAGCGTGTTTTAAGATATAGTTCCAAATATACAGACGTATTGTATGTTGGATATTTCTACGTCTAGCACTGTAGACGTATTATATGATGTAATATCAACTCGTAGACATAATGAGAAGATGGGCTGTTCCTATGTAGATTTACTCTAAGGTATGGTGTTATCTTTGCTGAGATCTTGCGAAACTGGATGGTGCTTCTATAGACGCTTCATAAGATCTGGTACCAGTAGATGGGCTGTTCCTGTGTAGATTTACTCTAAGGTATGGTGTTATCTTTGCTGAGATCTTGCGAAACTGGATGGTGCTTCTATAGACGCTTCATAAGATCTGGTACCAGTAGATGGGCTGTTCCTGTGTAGATTTACTCTAAGGTATGGTGTTATCTTTGCTGAGATCTTGCGAAACTGGATGGTGCTTCTATAGACGCTTCATAAGATCTGGTACCAGTAGATGGGCTGTTCCTGTGTAGATTT